TAAATTATCTAATTCTACAAGTGAAAAGTCCAATTAAAGTATTCAATTAATCAAATAGTACTAATTGTTGGTAAAGGGAGTGCAATTGATTTGCATTTGATTTGATATTAGGTTTTGTTCATGGGAATAACAATTGTCAAATTTTAAAGAAAAAATATAAAAAAATTAATTATAAGGGTTATACTAAATTGTAAGAATGATATATTTAAAAATTATTTCAAGAACTAAAAAGATTTAATGATGTTATTAATGATTAAATGATCAACTCATAAAATATAGAAATAATAACATTATTATCATACATATATAGTTAATTTATTAAAATAAAAAATTGAAAGGCAAAAAATAGAAAAAAATAAATATGCTTAAATGATTTAATTATGATTATTTTTAATAAATTTATTTATCAGCATAAACTGCATATACAATTATTTTCATAACAACTAAAGAAACAAATTTCATAATGTTTTATTCTTATACACATTAACCTTTTATACCATTCTATTTATATTTTCATTTGATGTGAAAAGTCATTTTTGCTTATGAAAAAAGAGTTTAATATTAAAAATAAAATCATTTAAAATTAAAATTTATAACAAATTACTAATGGTATTTTAATCAATCACTTTTAATATTTTTGAAATTAAAATTTTATTTAGGGTTTATTCAATCACTTTTAGTATTTTTTTAGTCTAATTATAAAAAAGTCTAATAATAAAAAATTTATTTAAATTAAAAATTATAAAAAATTTACTAAAGATATTTTATTCAATCACTATTAACACTTAAAATTAAATTTTTAATATTTTAAGTAGTTTAATTTTTCATAAACCTTATTTTTAATTTTAGTTGATTTAAATTAAATTTAAATAAATTAATAAAAGTTATATATTTAAAGATAAATTTGTTATTATAAGGGTATTTAGATTGATCACTATTAACAGTATTAATCATTTTTAGTAATTTTCTAGTCTAATTATAAAAAAAAAGTATAATAATAAAAAAATTCATTTAAATTAAAAATTATAAAAAATTTGTTAAAAATATTTTAGTCAATCACTATTAACAATTAAAATTAAAATTTTAAGTAGTTTAATTTCTCATAAACTTTATTTTTAATTTTGGTTCATTTAAATTAAATTTAAATAAATTAATAAAGTGATATATTTATGGATAAATTTGCTAATTTAAAAATTTATAAGAGTACTTAGGTCGATCACTATTAATTGATTTGGAATTCATATTTTTATATATAGATGACAGATGATATAATCGAAGCACCATACTGAAAACATAATGCTAGCAACTTCATTATTTCAACTTAAAGATATTAGCATACATACACTAACAAGTTGGCCCTTGCTAAGTAATCCAAAAGCCAAATTAAAAACAAACCAATGACAACTTCAATCTAATTTTACATATACTTGCATACATATATAATACATGCCTACACTCACAACACAATATATATATATATATATATGAGTAGAGGTGTCCATTCAGTCGATTTAGTTAATTTTGAATCAAATTACTTAAAATCGAATTAACTTAATTATATTATTTCATTTGCAATAACTAAATAGAATTCTTAGTTTCAAAAATTAATCGATCAAATTAAATTCGATTCATTCAATTAATGTTACGATGAATCAAATAATAAATATATTTAAGTTAAATTATATTTTAAATTTTAAAATTTTCATATTTAAAACAAATTAAATAAAGTTTTTCATATTTGAAAAATTTTCTTCATGTCTTGAGAGAGGAGGGATTGAGGAAGAAACAAATTAAGCTTAGAAAAGCCACAGTTGACGGCATCGGTGGCAGAGGAAAATGTAGTGGCCAACGGTTGAGTTTAATTTTCACTGTTGAGTCTCAAACAAAATCGTTATTGACAATTAATAAAAAATAATATAGATAATTCTTAAAATAGTTAGAGCATAATTTTGAATAAAAGCAATTAGATACTACTTTCTCCTCCTTTTATTCCATGACATTTTATGTATTTCTACATACAAAAATATATACATAGTTTATGTGCAACCTTGTGTGTATTTTTAATATGTCCTAATCTATACATTATAAATTTAGTAACTTTCTTATCATCATACCATAATCATGTTGTCTTAGCGTAGCAAATATTATCTTAATTTTGGATGTTGTTGTCTTGGTCTTAATTCCCCCCTCCCCCAGTCAAAATCTGGCATCACCACAAATAGACGATACATAAAATATAAAAATAGACGATACATAAAATATAAATTTAAGTGTGAAAGATAGTTGCATATTCAACCTATTTGATGTTGAGATTACTTTACAATTCTTATTGATGCAAAGATAACACAAGAAATACAAATTTAAGTGTGAGAGATATTTGCGTATGCAATATTCTTGAGTGGTCATGTGGCCTTTATACAACAAATACTTGGAGTTAATTATTTGATCAGTTCTTGTCGATGTATATATAACCTATTAAATATAATTTTAAGTGATAAAGACATTTCCTAGATATATATTTGCATGATATGACACTTATTAATTAATGCATATGAATTATGCATCGATCGTACATTGATTATGAATATTAAATAAGACATTAACATTCAATACACTTGTGTCCAGATTTTTGGGTGGTTGTATGGCCTATGTTCATCCTGTTTGGAAGTGTTTTGAATTGGCCTGTCACTTGTCCCGCTATAGTTGCCAAAGCTACTAATGAAGACAAACATTGGGTTGTTACGGTGTTTTATTAGTTTTTTGGTAGCCGGATTTCTTAAATGTGAAAATTTGATTGAAAGCAGAAAAACTTATAAATGTCAAATTTTGATTGAAAGCAGAAAAACTTATAAATTTGATTGAAAGCATTATTGATGTGATACTATAAATTTTAAAAGAAAAAAATTCAAAAGTTAAAATTAAAGATGAATTACATTTTGATCACTTAATTTTTAAAAAAATTTTATTCTGCTCACTCAATTTTGAAAATTTATAATTTGATCACTAATAATAAATCCTTGAATCTTATTAAAAAAAAAAAAACAAAAGTAAGCATTGGATTTTTTATTGCATGAAATTAAATTGTAAATTTTTATTTTATTAGAATTATACCAATTTAAATTTACAAAATGAATGAATATTATCAAATTACCAAAACTACTAAATCAACGTTATTTCAAAATTTTGTTATTCAACCCATCAAAGTTAATTAAAGTAAGTAGATCATATATTTCATAACGCTAAGGTTCTAATTATAATAAAAACTTATAATTTTA